ATATATCTCATATGTCTCAGCAACTATTAGACACATAATCCTACTACTTCTGAAACGAAGAAAGCTTCGAAGTAGTGTAACCTTGTTTTCGCAACTTAGGCATTAGGCATCGAAACATGATAGACGCGGCAGAGACTAGAACTAGTTAGCTGACAGTAGGCATGTTTTACCATAAACGTGGTCCATGAAGCAATGGCTTGGCCATGAGTATTACGCGGGGGCTTTAGCCTCAAGCTAGTTTCCCAGAGGCAGATTGTGAGAAATAACGCCTCGGGTAGCCCAGGTGGGGTGGCAGGGGTCGAGTGAAGTAAATGAAGCAAGAAGATAGCAGACGGATCTTAAGGGGCAAGAGGGAGACTGTGATAAGACCCATTGAAGAAGGACTGCATAACAGTATGGCAGACTCTGATCAACATTCACAGCACAAATGTGAAGGGGGGTGAGAACGCCAGTGTGGAGTGTGGAGGTTTCTCATGACAGCAGCTCAAAATGGCACACCATATCACATTTAAATAAGCAAGTAAAAAACGGTGACAGTGAAGGTGTGATAAAAGGATATAGAATTGAGGATTAGCCCATGGAGGAAGGAGAGATACCACGATTGTTTAGCAGATAATTGGGTAAAGCATCGACTTCACTTGTCTCTGAAGGGTTGTAGTGTGATGCTAGGAGATGCAAGACTCACTGACGATGCCGGCAAAACTTCTGGCAATGTACCACGTACACAGTTCGACTCTGGAAATGATCATGTATACAATGGACTATGGACTAGTTGCGTTCCTCTAAGTCTTCCTACTAATATGACCAAGTTGCGAAAACTAGGTAAAACAACTTCTATACAACGAAATGTGACGACGATCACACAAAAGGCCACACCATCTTGGTCTTCATAGCTGCGAAGAAAGTTTAGGTTTTTTCTTCCGAATCTACTGAGGATATCTCGTGGACTGCGTCAACATGTACGTCGTAGCAAAGCCAAATCGCAGCAGATCAACGGTACTCAGCTGCAGTCTTTTGACGAAGTAGACCTACGAATCTCTTCCTCTTACATCTTCATGCGAAATAGTAGTCTCACCAATCAAAATGATCTGTCAGTAAATTTCTTACTTGCATGATTAAAATTAGTGACTTTGGTTAGACGAAGAGACGGATGCCGCTAAGTGAAGACAAGTCTTGTTGAAAGGGTTTATGGACTACTTGTGAGTATGCTATTATATCGTCTAAGATAGGAAAATTAACAAGGTTGTATCGTGTCTGTTTAAAGACAATGATTTCAATTCTTTATTCTAGCTATAGATCATTAGGCTTAACATATTGTGGCACGACTCTCCATTTCGAAGGGAAAGGTGGTTGGTAGGAATTCGTGACGTAGTCTCATCGGAAACCGAAGGAGGGTTGTCAAGTAGAGAAGACTGTTCTATTGTGCGAAAAAGCCCTAGGCTACACGTCCTGCGACCTCGATGAGACTGTGCTAAGCTTTCGTCTGTGCTGTGACAAACATCCTCAGAGTAAGACTTCATACCTTACGAGATAGAGCAAAAATAGACTAAACCAAGAGAACAGGTAACGATTATATATCAATTGTAGTTAACAAGATTAGAGGATTGTTGGGGGACCTTGATTTCTTATGAAAGTGCATGAAGGAGAGATTCGTATGTCAATCTCACCAGAAGAGGACGGATGAATCCCGTTGTACTGCAGCTGTTTGGCTTTTATACAATGTTCAGGTTTACACCGTCGACGAGACCTCCCTCTTTTCAGAGGTTTCTTCACCAAGCACTTTTATACGAAATGAAAGTCCCTATACCAATTTTATATCGGGGGAGTCATCGAAACCCAGCTTCTCTTCGTATCTACAAGATAAGATGAGTTTGCTATCAGGTGCAGGATAGACAACTGGACAATTCTACTCGGTTCCTGATTTAGACTTCCTGTCAGCTTGCGAAAAAGTTGGATGAATTATTGAGAAAAGGGAACATAAGAACAATGCATAAAGAGGGATTAACACTTTCTCAAGTAAAAACTGTGTTTGGCTGTTGGATAGACTTTTGCAAAGGGAGAGAGAGGGGGTGCAGGAAGAGCCACTGAGCAAGAGAAGGAGGCTGGATTAGCCTCGAATCTCGCTAGGACTATCACACTTCCCATGACATGAGCATAACATACACACAATAGACAATAACACAAGCCCAAGCATGATTCAACATTCGACGATCGTATGCTAGTTTTTTTATGTAATGAAATAGCTGCCACGGAACGCACTTTCGGTTTGACAAGTTAACTTCACTCATTTGAAAGCATGTCGAGAAAGGTTGAAGTAGACAACCAAATTATGGGACGCCGAATTAAGATCGCGACTTTAGGTCCATAAAATGTGTTTGGGCTTGCAGCCGGTTACCTTTTCTATTGTTTTAGTATATTTCTGCTCTATTCCGTAAAGTATGGAATCTTGCTCTGATGATGCCTGTCACAGTACAGACGAAGTCTTCGCACAGTTTCATCGGGGTCGCAGTTTGTTGAGCCGTAGACTTCTTCGCACAATTCAACAATCTACCCTACGTCTGAATCCTCCTTCGATTTCCGGTGATACCACATCATGAATTCCTTCCAACCAACCATCCCTTCGAAATGGAGTGTCCTGCCACAATATTTCATTAAGGAATTCTTAGAAATTCGGTTTTTCTTCATTATGCTTAAAAGTTTTCTGACAGCAAATAGTACACATTTGCCTAGTGAATTTGCCACCTACTTAAGCTTCTTTTCATGGGAGATCTTAGGCAGCGAAAAACGCTTTATTTAGGCAGTTAATAAGGTCTCATATATAGTGCAAACGTCATGTGGTATCTCATGTTTGGTTGACCTAGTGTCCACGATGTAATGAGAAGCCTTGTATTGGGCTCAATAATTAGTAGTATTTTTAGTTACATGCTGCTTAGCTGTCCATAGAATAGAGAAAATAGATGCCTTGAACAAAATTGTAGTCCAGACAATTGCATATATCTGCCATAAACTCCTTTGTTAGGTTACCGGGAGAAGAAATTGAGTGATTCGAGAAACCAACGATGCAGATCTGCAAGTATTCGATCCGCCAAATTACTAATTTCCATCAAAATATAATATACATTCAATCAGGTAAACGTCTGGAATATTGAAAAATATAATTTTGAATAATTACCAGCCTTTAAGAAAAGGACAAACCGAAGAATTAGTTAGAACACTCTTGTGGGGCACTAGCAAAGCTTTGAGGAAGACAAACAAGCATAGCAATAATCATATTTCGGCATCAGGGCTTTTGCAGTAACATCGACCCGATCAGTAATAAGCAATTCCTTAAGGGGCTGCAGCTTGCCTGGGCCATGAGGCTGGATGCGACCAGTCTCACATCGTCCCTGTAACCCTTTCCCACCTTTCCCCACCCAACTTGCATACCTTGCCTTGCATAAATTAGAGCTTCCTAACCGGAGTTGAGAAAGGCCTTCATAGCATACGTAAACTGGCCGCACCACGGAGTTTGTCTCAACCGACCGGGTAGTCGATCAATTTGTCACCCCAAATACCAACCGGACAATATCTTACCGGTCTGTCAGTGAGTCACAAAGACGAACGAACAAGTAGCAAGCTAGATGGTTGGGTGGTGGTTCAAGCACAGCCCTTCTGCCACGAGAGACCGGCAGGCTAGGTGCCGAAGGGTCTCCTGAACGCATCAAAATGTGAGCCGGATTTAGAGGGAGCAGTTAGGGCTGCCTAAGAAAGAGGGAGTAGGGTGGAAAAGTGAACATGTCGAGAGAAAACTAGGGGGCGACTCTTCATCTTCGGCCCGCCGGCCTAATATGTAGAGTATTAATAATCTATCGATCCATGAGAAAGAAGAGGATAAAGGAGATAAACAGGGATGGGAGATTTAGCACTAAAATGTGAAAATAAGCCATACCGAATATTGCAAAAGTGAAGGCCTTAGTAATGTACAGCAGGCTATTAGTCTGAAGGGCAGGTGAATTTCACATTTCTGCACAAAATGCACCCAACAACAACACCACCACCAGCACCACCATCGTCACCAAGAGTCACAACATAATTGCAATTGTCACCAGCACCAGTACATTCTCATCTCCACAATTTACATCACCACAAGCTCGACTGCCACCACCAGCACGACCACGTCACTCTGCTACGACAAGTAGGGACGCAAGGATGAATTCTTGTGTAAATCCATACCCACAATATCCCTGGGTCTCTGTCGCTCCTTTTCAACGCGGATTCCCCAGTTTGTCGTTCTACTTGAAATGCAAAGCATTCTCGTCCATCAGCACTCCGATTCGGGCGCATTGCGAGCATTATATGCTGCACAAGCGGCCATATCAACAAGTGTCTAGATGTGCGCCCACATCTGCTCTCGAGGTGCTCGGGCACTCTGACACCTACTCTATCCGGCTGGAGAGAAGAAAGATTAGAATCTCCACACCGTTCTCTTAGCATTATTACTGACAGTCCCCCCTCTTCCCCTAGGCCTCTTCTCTCTCCCGCCCTCGCTCTTCTCCTTTCCTATAAGCTAGCTGGCCACTTGGCACTCGAAACGAGTGGCCCTTTTCTTACCTTCAACACCGACGCGATGCGCACATTTGCACATTTTCCGAGGTCTCACCCATTATGTATTCTGGAAAACGAGGGCCGGAATCCTGAGAGCAGGAAATTTCTGCTCTACGGTTGAAAGCCGCTACTCCTACCAGGCTTTCCGCCACATTCTCCTCCTCTTTGGGAGTCCCGCTTCCGGCTAGGGGGAAGCTGCAGCATTCGGGTATATTCCTGTCATTATCAATCCTGGATCAAAAGTCTCAATCCTTCTCTTATCTGTGCGTCAAACAGTCGGTCCCTTCTCTGTCGAAAGCAGCTCGCAGTGACCCGCCTGCTTATTCTACAGCAGTTCGTATGGCAAGAAATGTGCTTGAACTTGCCAGAGCGCGCGAAGAACGGCATAGCATGCTAGACAGGTAAACTGCTTACCGTTAGTTATTACTCCATTCTCATTTACTACTACGATGTTTTTCCTATACAAAATTGTATTAAAAAGTCTGCTTTTGACCATACTCTTTCAAAATGTCCTCTACTTTAAATGCTCCGAACAGTAAAAACCCCGATAATTCCTTTGAGTAGAAACTTGTCATCAGCCAATAATTCAAGCGTGATGACACCTCTTGTTTTGAGGTACTACTCACAAGCATTGGCTAAAAGATACTGCTTGCCTTTTTGTTCATTTAACGTAAGAAAGAAAAGAGAGAGGTGCCAATTTTCGGAGTGGTATTTTATAAACAAGAGTATCTAGAAGTGGGTTGACCTCGTTGTCGCAACTTGGTCTTGTTGTCAGGGGGACTTAATAGAACGCACCTAGTCCGTAGTCGTCTGGCCTAGTAGCTATCATGATTCCCTAAGTCGCCCTGACAACAAGATCAAGTTGCGACAGCGAGGTCAGCCTACTTCTATAAATCGAAAGGAGACTGCGACCATACCAGAGGCCACAACATCAAGAGTATCTAGAGTTCGATGAATCTCTTGAGATAGCATTGTTATAGAGACTTTCAACTCTTGTGAAATTTCATGATGAATATATTCAATTGTTTTATCTCACCGGAAGACAATGATGTACAGCTTGTCGCAGTCGACCAAACATCATCCTTGGTTTCGGGTGAAAATGGGCTGAGCTTTCGTTCATCGTATGAGAAAAATTGTCAGAGATGAAACTAACTGTTGCAACAGCTTTAAGTTAACACTAAGTCAACAAGACAATCCGAC